GAAAATTTAAAGGAGTTGCTTAAGTCAGGAGGACTGCCTACTGGATGCATTCCGCAGTGCAAGTGTTGTCTATCCAACCTTCTCCTGATGTGGAACAGATACACCTAAAGCCAAAAACCACGGGATCGAAAAGATGGGAAGGTGACGTGCTGAAAAGCACAGAGCTGTCGGGTTTGGCCTTTTGGGAGCTCCATGGACAAGCTGCAATCACCTAGGTGTTTTACCGAATGCTGATCTGACTAGCAATCAGGAAAAATGACATTTTTAGAAGGCTTTAGAAATACTGCATCTAGAATACAGCCGAAGAAGTAACTAAACAGTAATTTCCTACATAATACATTTTGACAAGAAGATAACAGGGAAATGAGTAACTACAGGTTGGAAGCATCTTGAAAACAATGCCACTTCTCAACTGACTGCAAGGAACGCAAAAACACGCTATGATCAGAGCTCTGACTTTCCTGAACACCTAACCCCGCATTTTGCTGCAGAGCCCAGTAACCCACTGCTTACCAAACTGAAAATTTAGAGCACCCTCATTTACCTTTTAAAGTGGGAATTTTCTAAGGCATTAAAAGGAAAATGCATAATTATAAGCAAGGCTACGGCTCTCATAATCTCTGCTTGGAAGCGGCATTTGATCTATTGAGTGACTCTTGCAGACATCAGCAAAGAGAACACTTAACTGGACCACGGAGGTTGCCTGGGAGGTTGCTGGAGATTCGGAGGCTGAGCAGGGAACTGAAAATTTTTTGTCAGCTAAAAAAAAAAAATCATGGGAGGCATTCTGAGACTGTGAGCAGCAAGAGAGGTTAAGAAGCACGCTAATTTTACTTGCAGCCTGTAGGTTTCATAGTCAACCCACCAAGTGAAATTGGGTGGCCTGCATTTCTCCGATGCATCGTTTCTGGGGCCTGCGACATTAATGGTATTATTCTGGGGCTCTGTTGTTTATATTTCTAAGTTATCATCTGGAACAGATTCCAATCACAAAAACTTTTTTTTTTTTTTTTTAAATGCACCTAGTGCTTTTGAAGCATAATCCCGTTGCCGAGTAGATTGCATTGCAAATTCTTTGGCTGCATGATCATGAAACATAAGACCACATCTAGGACATCTTCCAAGCCAGGCAATGGCTCCTGCTTCCAGCAGGACTCCATTCTCCTTCATGTTGGAGTGTTTCTGGAAAGACTGCACGCACAGCAAGCGATGCATGTCCTTCCCAATAGGGATTCATCTGCACCGCTCAGTGCTTTCCATATAACATTTCGGTGAGTTGGAGACAAACAAAGTTGAGTGCTAGAATATTAAATTACTCTCAGCTCTCAAATAACAGCAGACTGCCTTTATTGCTGGCTGTGTTGCAGGATGAACTACGTTAACAACTAGTCTATCCTCATCTTTGGACCAGAAGCAGGAGTCTTATCATGGTGGGAGATGCTGCTACAATTAGGACTGTTGCTTAAATGAGCGTGTCTTATTTGTAGCTGGATCAGATTTCACTATAAGTTACCACATGTTAAAAAATAAAGGTCCTGGCAGGCATGTATCCTATTCACACAATGCTAATTTTGCCATTAAAAAAATAATCCCAGAACCGATGCCATTAAAAGCCCAATAACATAATTTAGAAAAAAAAAAAAAAAAAAAAAAAAGTCAGGCATAATTTACTGTGATTTGTGAAGAAGAACCGTGCCTGACATTTTTTTGTTAAATTCTCCTGCTTCTCAAATCACTTATTCCTTCTGCAGAATTTCTGCAAGTAAATTTAAGTCCTAGAAAATGAGCAAACAGGCTTTTTAAACTGCCAAAGTGACCTGCTATGTCTCATATATTTCACTAAGAGTTTAAAAACAGCTCCAAAAATCTCACTGCTGCAGAACATCCAAAAACTCCCATGGACAGCTTTTATTCCATAGTGCACCATCTTACAGAGTTCAAGAAAAGTCCAGGATACTGACGTAATACAGAAGCAACCTCTTAACTACTTTAGTCATCAATAAATCCTATGAATTAATGATTATGAATGAACAGAACATTAACTTTTGGATCCCTGCTGTGTTTTGGTGGAACGTGGAACAGTTCTACAAAACCCAGTGACTACCAATATAATAAGCAACTATTATAAAGAGTCAAGGTCTCCATTTCATCATTTTAAAAAACTTCTAGGTTCTCCCTTATCAGGCTCTGGGGTTTTAGCTGGCTCCAGGGGGAAAGACTGGGGTAAGCACGCTGCCGGCAAAGACACGATTTCAAGAAATGCTCTCTTCCACAGAGGTGTTTAATCACAATTTTAGGAGGCAAAAGTCCAAACCATTCTCCGTCACGCAAAAAGACGTATGAAGGGACCTGAGGGAAAAAGACCCAGAGTTTTCAACTGCAACAACTTCAGCAAATTATTACTATGGCGTGAAGCTACATGGGGACCGAAGATCCTTAAGGCAGCTCGATCCCACCCTTGCAGATCTGTTCCTCCCATATGCTATGACGCTATGGCTCA